CTTTGCCTACATTCTAGCACTAGAGAGAAAATAGAAAACAAGCTAATATCCTCACATAGAATACAGTTCTTGAATCTTGATATAGCTTTAAGTTTGATGAAGCTTCTTTATGAATTTGTTGTTCTTGAATTAACTTTCCTTCATCATTATGCCTCCTCCTCCTTTGGATATCATCGTTGTAGTGTATATTCCATCCAATCCTCCATTAATGGCACTAACAAGCTTGATAAATGAATTTACTACATTTGCACTCAATAAGCCATTAGTACCGATAATGGTGGTTGTAAAACATCATCAAAACATAAGGGCTAACAGCACCTACCCGCTGTTCTCCAGTACACTGTGCGGATGTTATAATGTGTATCAATCATCAATAATAGATCGATACGCAAAACAACATACGCTTATTGTACACAGAGAACAATGCGATACGTGTTATCGGAATTTTTTAGGAATAAAAATGCTTAAAATATACAAAGATAGACGATACACTACTGTATTCCTAACCTGTACGAGAAGGGGAATCCTCCCCGGACAGATCTAATAATTATTGCATGTAGAGCATGCTCCTAACATAAATCACGTTATTCTCTTTAGATGTAAAAAGTATTTTCACATTCAACTAGAATTGCGTGAGTTTATATCAGAAGAGACTCACATCCAACAATATTAGACGGGAAACTAGGGGTAACGACTTCCGATTCATAAAATCATGATATATAACACAATACAATCTCGATATATCTAACTAATTAAAATTTGCAGTTAAGATAAAGGCTAAATATCAGTAAATCCCCATTAACTTTGGGACTATTATCAGATAACCCCCATTAATTTTCAAAATATCAGAAAACCCCCCTTATTTTAATCTTCATATTAGGAAAGATAATTAAACTTCTTCATATTAGGAAATATAATTAAACTTAGGCATCCACATTAAAGCCCATCAAAATCCAATTTTGATCTGAAGAATCAAAAAAGGACAAGAAATTACCGCTTGGATCTCTTGCACTGCAATCCAAGAAAACGTAAGACCCGCTTGGATCTCCTGCACTACAATCCAAGAAATCAAATATCAGATCAGAAACAACAACAAAACCTAAAATTACAACAAAAATTTTTTTAAAAATCACTGACAGAGAGGTTTCTGCGAGTTGATTATCACATAATTGTTGCCTCATCTCATGCATCTTAAGTTTAATTATCAGTTTTGCTAGAAACCTTTGCAGCAAGAGGGGCAAAATAATATATTTAACAATACATGATTATCATATGCAAAGTATGCAATAAACCATCTGCTTCATCTTATGCATCTTAAGTACATATATACTTACTTTTAATCTCTCTCATGGAACTCATAATTATTTTCGTTTTCAATTTTGGAATTTGTCAATTTCTTTCTTTATGGTCACAATATATTAAACATAAAGGTTAATTGCAAATAGACCCCTAGCCGTATTGTTGTTTCGAACTTAGTACCCCTGTAGTTTTATTGTTACAGATAGACCCCTGGATTATTGTTATTATTATTGACTATTTTAAAAATTTACAATAAAACCTAAAATTACAAAAAAAAAATTTAAAAAAATCACTGACAGAGAGGTTTCTGCGAGTTGAGCGGGGACGGTGCCGCGGTGAGCTCCGACGAGAGATCGGGGGTTCGGGGGTTCGGGGCCTCGGCGCACGGGCGGTGGAGTCGGAGAGAAGCAGGAGGTGAC